TCAGAAAAGTACGTGTGTGTGTAGAGAGAGAAGGAAGAAGAGAGAGAGAGAAAGAGGGAGAGAGAAAGAGAAAGAAAGAAAGAGGGAGAGAGAGAAAGAAAGAAAGATGGAGGGAAAGAGACATTCGGTCGGCCTGAGGGCATCTAATATACATAACCGATGAAGTAATAAAATGTCTAATTAAATAATCCATAATTCTTAAAATCTATCTCTCGATATATATATATATATATATATATATATATATATATATATATATATATATATATATATGTACGTATGTATGTGTGTGTGTATATATATATATATATATATATATATATATATATATAAAACGAGGAATGCTGGCATCTCCGTTGTCTTTTATCTAAAAAAGAGTGAGATAGCAGATCTGTTATGCCAATTGTTTTGTACGAAATTTACGTGAAGACACCTGATAAATATAAATATCAACTCACAATTCGATCATGAAATTAACATCCTGTCTTCAAATATTTGCATTTTCCTGATAAAGGCAAAGCCCAGCATCAAATAATATTTCTATGATAACCATCTGCTGATTACCTCGACACATCGAGAGAGAAAGAGAGAGAGAAAGAGAGTGAGAGAGAGAGAAAGAGTGAGAGAGTATGGGAGAGAGGTCGGATTACGTTTTAGAGGAATTCAAATATACTTTCTCTTCGCTTCTCTCCAAATTAGAAATATTATACATACATATATATATATATATATATATATATATATATATATATATATATATATATACTTGAATTAACTGATTATATCAAATGAAGACATTTAATGCATGCCTGAATCACACACAGGTGTTCAAAGAAAAAGAAATGAAAAGAATGAGTCAGATAAAAAACGAGTTTATTGGCTCAGCCTCTGATTACAATGTTGATTTAATTTAGTAAAAGATATGAGCAGTGAACTTTTCCAGACTTTACCTTTGCCATTGCACTGAACTTGATGTCTTACGATTAATTTTACAACTCTTCTTTTTCAATTATAGTTTAATCTTGATCATGACATCGAATTTGCTGCTAGATCCTTGACAGGACACCTGAATTAAATGAGTAGATAGAAAAAAATGTTACAATTTATATTTGGCTTGAAATAATGTCCAGTCGCACTTTGAAATAATCGTCTTGAGAATAACTTAAAGCAAAATAAACATTGATTTTTACTTTCTAGTTCATTTTTGTTCATGGTTCCAGATTACTTAATGTTAGAGTGGATAGATTCTTGTGTCGGTTTTTACTCGTTTAAAATTTTCTTTATATCGAACCCATATCAGAGACCTTATACTGTATCCCTCAAATGACACTAAGACCTGGTTTAATGGTGAGCAAGCTTGTCTTGCTAGATCAATTACGACTGAAAAGTGAGTTCAATCCTCACTGGGTGCCCCATAATTTCGGACTTGTGTCACATCAAACTTCCCTTAGAAAATCATTTAGGTACCTCGAGACGGTGTAATGGTGAGAAGCTTGTCTTTCTAGATCAATTACGATTGAGTAGTGAGTTCGATCCTCACTGGGTGTCCCCTACCTTGTGCCACATCTAAGCTACGCTTGGAAAATCACTACTGTATGCATTCAAATGGTCTCTTTAGCAATGGAAGTGGTAAAAAATATTCGTTCTGGAAATATAGCTTTAAGTGGCCGAATATACCAAATATTGGTGAGTTATAATCGGGACATTTTTCTCATGAAGATTCGCCTCGATCTGTTAATATTGATTTTCTGCAAAGCGTAATCGAGGAAAATCCTAAGCGAACTGCACTTTCTCTCAAGCGTCTCTCATCAGCTGACTATTTCCCATTTTAATCGAAAAGTTGCTCTCTGCCAGCCATTGAAAAGTAGGCTTGTTACAGAACCTTTCTTGTTGAGAATCATCGCCAGTGATAAAAAAAAAACAAAACTGGATTCTCTATAATCATATCGAGAAGAAGCGGTAGGCACCCACTGAAAAAGAATGATCCAGACCCCAAATAGGATTAGACCCGAATAACGTTATCTTCTGTGTTTGGTGGGATATGAAGGATGTCGTTTATCATGAAGCGCTTAACCGAAATCGAAGAGTTACTGCTGAGAATTAACGACGTCAACTAGAAACATTGCATGAAAATTTGCAGGAAAAGCGCCAGTCGTTAGTAAATTGTAAAGACACGCCTGCTCTTACACGATCATACAAGACCACATATGACCCGAGTTACTCAACATAATATTAGGATACTAAATATGGACTTTTTTCTTTATACTCCTTACTTATCTGACTTTGCTCCACCTGAGCACCATTTTTTCAGATCATCGCAACATTTTAGAAGGAAAAAGATTGTTAATTGTGAAGAGGTTGAAACAGATATTGAATTTTTCTTTACATCGAAAACTGAATAATTTTACGTCCAAGGGATCAACAATCAACAATATAGAATAGATGGATCAAAAATATATAAATAGATGGAATTATATTATCGATATATATATATATATATATATATATATCAAAGAAGCATGTGTTTTTTTTTCTTTTTTATATATATATATATATATATATATATATATATATATATATATCAATGAAGCATCTGTTTCTTTTGATATATAATATATATATATATATATATATATATATATATATATATATATATATATATAAAAGTGAACATTGAAGCCAACATTCGCGTGACGATTGCGTCTAACATGAAACAGCTTGTCGCCTCTGAGTGTTGAATTCAATATTCACTTTTATATTTATATTTACATACGCTCTATCTCTGATATTGAGCACTTTATCCCATAAATATAGCACACCTTAACTCTCTCTCTCTCTCTCTCTATATATATATATATATATATATATATATATATATATCAATCAAAGAAATGTGTGTTTCTTTTCAATCTTAAATACAACAGGACTTTCTAGGGTAATATATCAGCTTGCTTGCTAAGTTGAAGAGGTGGTATTAAAGTTGACACTGGAAAGAAAATATGGAAATTTACCAATTTGTAGCAGCGTTAATCTTTTTGTTGATCGAGGATATTTTCTCGGGTTGGTGGGAGAGATATATTTATGTGATATGTTGTAATGGAGGTATTATTGAGAACGCATGAGGTTTTTTTAAAACCTGAGATAGGGTAATTATGGGGTGGGGTTGTATACGACGTGTTGTTCACTGGGGACTGCTACAACTGGTATCAATATTAACCAGAAGGCGAAAGAAAAAAGAAAAAAAAAGGGGCATAGATGAGCCGATAACGCTTTTATGCGCTTAACGTCTGCATCAGTGAAATATGAAGCCATGTCAATTTTGAATCATTTGTAAACCTCTTACTTATTTTAAAAAAGACTCATGCTTGTGATTGTTATTGAAATATTGTTTTAAAATTGTTACGGTCAACTATTTAACGATACAACTGGGAAATTTCCACGGATGTTTTACAGTCAGCGAACACGGAAGAAGCTCATTAAATTATTAACTTAAAAATCATGATCAATCGAAAAATTAAAAAAATCGGAAAATGGTAAAATATTCACAGCCAATATAAACACATTTAATGTTACGTTTACTCTGGTGGCTCATATCTTGGGATTATCTATTTACAGAATCAACATTCATTCAGATCTGTGTCGTATGGGATTACTGCCATGAAATACCAGAGATGTGAGTCAAATTTAATGTCGATGAAGGACATTTGATCGCAGAAGAGATGATCTGTGTTAACTCCAATATATATATATATATATATATATATATATATATATATATATATGGTAATGCTCGTTTGGAAAATTTCGGATAGCTCAACTTGCAGATATGTCAGAACAAATCGGTACCCAAGGAAAAAACTGGAAGTAAAAAAACAAAACAAAAAAAACGGAAGGAGCTCATTAATCTATTAACTTAATTTTATTAATAAAATTCAAATAACATTAAAGTGGTTATGTTTATGGATTATTTGGTTCTACCAATAAATACTGTTCCGCTATTTATCTTTTTAGCCAGTTTTACCCGGAAGATCCGTTTAGGTGAAACCTAGGTAGGTTTACCTGTCTCCTTAGGATTTATTCTATATATATATATATATATATATATATATATATATATATATTATATGTTTTATTAAAGACAAGGTACTACGATTAAACTTTTTATTTAATTTTTCTTGTGTTCGAACAAGTGACCTAATACTAAAATTAATAACATACCAGCAAAATCAAAATTTCAACGAACGAACATTATCTATGAGTTCAATTGCTCCTTAAGGAACTGTGTTCCTGATCAAACCGAATTTATGAATAAATACATCGGTCACACTACTACATGTCTATCTAGACGTCTTACGTTACACCTATCTGACCACAGCTCTATTAGAATCCATTTCAACACACACGCAAACTTACCAGACTCCATCCGAAACATACTAGTAGAAAATACAAACATAATAACCTGATCCACCTGTAAAAAAGGGATTTCAAATAATAGAAGCCTTTAAAATGAAAAAGAAAATCCAGTACCCAATAATATTAACTACGGACACGGCCACAATGTGCTGACTGTGTTCAGAAAATAATACAACCCTATAACTCTAGAAACATACACACAACCCATACCCCCAATTAAAAAGCAAAAAGAAAATTATCATTGATAATGGCTAAAAGTATAACTGAAAGCGCTCAGAATTACAGAACATTTGGACAGTTTCTACACACTCTGTGTCCAGAAAAGAAAACACTTGTTTTAACACAAGGAAAATTGGTCCGTCTGTGAAACTGGGGTCGGGATGCTAAAGTTAGCATCAATCAGCTAAGTGAGAAACCTTTAACTTTAATATTTTAATGACAATTGTTCTCCTGTTTCATACCTTGAGCGCATGAATTTAAACGTACCACTAAATTGGCAACTAAGTTTCATTATTTTGCTGTTGTAAAGATGTAACCGTAAGTTCTATTCTAATAGTTTCTTTTCTCGTACCTTTCACCTGTGGAACACCCTTGCTTCTCTACCATCTACAATCTTGAAAAATTCGAATGCAACACCAATCGCCATCTTCTGTCCTTTTGTTTTGTTGCCCTTTTTCCTCAATTAATGTTTCCTCATCCTCTTTCATCCCAAGTAACCCTTTGCATCTTAGAGGCATTGTTGTCTTGCTTGGAATGAAAACATTGAATAACTTTTATCACAATACGACTAATTTGAAGACGTGGACGTTCACGGCTCTCCACAGCTTTATGTGTTTTGTTGTTCTCAATACTTACTCCTTTATTACCGCCTCTACGGTACGTGTTCATTTATCCCTTGGCTCATATTTGTCCAGTGATGTATTTTCTACTTTCTACTACTTATATTACGTGTGATCTGCCCTGTGAGTGTTAAATTATCCTAGCCTTCTTTTCTCATTATTGTTATGGGATCTTACCCATAATAATAATAATGGACTATTCCATACTTAATAAATATTGCACCTCACTTCTGAACCGACTGTTCGGTTGAACTCTCTGCCTTCGGGCGGAGAGGAACAAGGCTACGCCGAGGGGCGGAGTCTCGTTCGAGGAGGTAAACCGGCCCTGAGCCCTTTTATACGGGTTCAATGGGCATATTTTTGGGCCGAGCCCACGTGCTCGGAGAACCCACAATAAATAACCGACCTGGAGTTACATGCTGCCCCAGTGTGTGTGTGTGTGGGGGGGTGACTGAATATCGTCAGTCAGTCGTTCAAGTCTTGACCGGCTGATCGGTTGAACTCTCTGCCTTCGGGCGGGGAGGAACCCAAACGTGGCTATGCCGAAGGGCGGAGTCTCTTTCGGAGAACCCACATTAAATAACCGGCCTTGTGCCACATACTGCCCCAGTGGGGGGGGTGACTGAATATCGTCAGTTCGAGTCAGTAATTCAAGTGGAGTCAGTTGTTCAAGTCGAGTCAGAGGCAGTCCGAAACAGAGTCGCGTTCAGACAATTACTGCAAGACATTGGAATAGTGATACTGGTCGAGACTACGTTGTTCTCTCTACTAAACCTGATTGTTCATACTAACACTTCTACTTCTCTGTATATATTCCTGTTTGTAATATATCGGTGTTATTCCATACCTGTGTTCGAGTTCTTCTTTATTGGTTCTACCTTGGACTATCACCGTGCTACAATGTATATAACAATTATGTATCCGAAAACGTTCAGTAGTTTACTTACTGCTTTTCCTTACATCTCGGCTTACGACCATATCACGTTGGAACACCGGTCCTCGTACAATCACCGAAGTTAAGCAACATCGAGTCTGGTCAATATCAAGATGGGTGATTACTTGGAAATGTCAGGTGCTGTAAACTTAGATGTGCGAGTGGTGTAATGGATAATGGTTTGAAATTAGAAATCGGAGATTTGAGTTCCAATTCTAATCGGATTCCTTATATTCACTTACTCGTAAATACCCCTGGGAAAGATAAGAACTTACCTCTTCTCGCCACCTAAGGGTTAATTAGTAGAACTTGCATCAGTAAAGATCATCATTATCTCCAGATAATCCTTACAATGTAAAAATATTTTCTGTCTGTAAATAACCTGCAAAGGGTTGATAAACCATCAAAAACAAAATAATTAATCATATCCACTACTTCTTTTACATTTGATCTTCCCTGTAAGAGTCAAATTCTCCAAGCCTCATAATGTATCCGAAAAAGTTCAGCTCTCACTCTCTCTCTCTCTCTCTCTCTATCTGATTGTTAGGGACATTTTTTGTAGTTTCCGTTCCCTTGTGACTTATTGAAGCATATTGATTAGCAAGTATGTTTCGTAGAGAAGTTCTCTAATGTAGGAAGTAGGATTCTTACTAAGTAGACACTGACTCTGCTAGACCAAGATTCTTTTTTTAAAATGAACATTGTGCATCGTTCCCTCTTCCAAGTCTTTAAGAAATTCAACAAAAATTCCTGCTTAATGAATAGAGGTCCATCTCTTAAGCAGAACCTCCACATAGATTCACAACTCAAGGTATATAACAAAGATTTAAAGCTATAGGTATTTCCAGTAGTCACCCATGTTCAAAAAAAATCTTGTGATGTATATCTTGTAAAATAAATACTAGAGTGAATCAATAAGTCCGTAGCCTGATAGTTATTAATTGAATTTTAATCTGAAATGCTCATTGTACAATATTTGGTTTATGGGGTTAATAAAGAAACGTTAATCAGACGAATGGAAAATATGTTCGAAAAATAAATATTTGTGTGAAATAAATACTCTTTTTTTTTTCATTCTTAGGCGATGAAGTTTATGATAAATCTTTGTCCCAAAATAAAAATAAAAAGAATAATTCAATTCGATCAATGAATTATCTCCCCTTGTTTTTTTGTTGCAGCGTAAGATAGCGCATTGCATGAGAAGAGGCACCATTGTGAGGGAAGGAAGGTGCATTTTTTTTTTGCTTCTGTGCATATGAATAACTCTCCGAATGAAAAGAAAGAAATCTGACGAGAAAAAGACCAATTCTTGCCGATTCTCTTCTAGTAACGGCACAAAACAGAGGCAGAAGCAGCAGCAGCCGTTTGGCAGAACATCATAAGAAAGGAATTCCACAGAGTCGATTTTGCAAATTTCAAAAGAATTCAATCCATTGACTCAGAAATAGTGAAAGAACTTTCATAATTTAAATAGTCATTTCTTATCAAGTGTTGTTATATGATTGACTTCGTTTTTAACAACCCCTTCTGACATTTGCGATATTACAATAATTCAACAATAGATAAAGATACGGCAATCAGTTACATGATTGGAGAGCTTCGACGTGGCGTCATGGTTAACAAGCTTGTCTCGCTAGATCATTTACGACTGAATAGTGAGTTCAATCCTCAATGGGTGCTCCATACTTTCGGCCTTGCGCCATAGCTAAGTTTAGAATAACAATTTGGCACTTCGACTTGGTGTAATAGTTAACAAGCTTGTCTCGCTCAATCAATTATGTGTTAGTAATTATGAATGCAATTATATGCCTTCACCTAAAGATTAAAGGTATTGTTGCGCAAACAACATTTGGACAGTGTAATGGTTAGCAAACTTGTCTCTCTAAGTCAATTATGACTGAATAATGTGTTCGATTCTCACTGGGTGCTGCATACTTTCGGCCTTGTGCCACATTTAAGCTACGCTTAGAAAATCATTTCCAGACACCTCGTCGTGGTGTAATGGTTAGCAAGCTTGTCTCGCTAGACCAGTTACGATTAAAAAGTGAGTTTGCTCTTCACTAGGTACCCCTTACTTTCGGCCTTGTGCCACATTTAAGCTACGCTTGGAAGATCACTATGTCTTATAGCGTTCAGGATGTGGATTTGTTTCTCTCAGCAGAGATTCTTTAAAGTCTTTGAACATATATTTATTCATCTTTTTGAGCGATACTACATATAATTGTGTCATGTCAGGCGTCCTCTAAACCATAAGAGTTGAAAGGTCACCACATGTACTGCGGCCATAACAGCAGTAGTGTGTAAGATAATCTGACGGAGCTGATTCATTTTAAAAGTAAATTAAGAGTTGTTTTTTTGTTTTGTTTTTTTGTTCGGTGTTTGACATTTCATAGCACAGAGTGTAGAGTCTGACTACTTTTTAACTTGTAGCTGGAGGAAAATGGATTCATGCCTTTTTTTTTCAGAAGTGTTAACGCTAATTTAACGAGGCCGAATCCACTGGGAATTGAGGTCGGCAGGGATTAGATCCCTCGCAAATAGCCGTTACACTGCCAGCGCCTTCTGCAGTTTTTTATATAACGTATAAAAATTCCTGACCAGGAGAATTCTACGTTACTTCCGTCCTTCACACACACACACACACACACACACACACACACACACACACACACACACACACACACACACACATTCGCGCACACATGCATACACACACACGTACATTCACGTGCAAACACACACGCATATACATACACGCCCATACACATATGCATATACATACACAGACATACACACACGCACAGGCGCGCACACATATACAGACACACACGCAGACACATGATCAGACGCACACGCATGCACGCGCAGATACGAGCACACATACACACGCACACGAACACAGGCACACACACACATGCAAATAAATAAGATAATATTTGTTGACAAATAGTTTTAGTTGTGTTTTTATAGTCATGCCAACGCCGGGTACAAACGACAAATCTATTTGGATCGTCTAAGAGAAGATGGACTATAAAGAACTCTCATAGTGACAATTTCTATCTAATATCCTTGGCTACTGATCATAAATTTGTCAGCATTTCATTAGCTGAGGAAATTTCGTACATAGAGGGTGCAAACATAACATATGGAAACGCCAAAATCGAACTGTGACATTTTTATTAACGTCTATAAAAAAAGTTATCCAAATTCTGTTGTGAGTTTTTCTTCCTCTGTCTGAAGAAACCCTAAGTATATTTTTGAATCCTTTCCAAGTAAGGCGATAAAGTCACTAAGGTGCAAGTGGTTACTTAGAGTGAAAAAACCGAGAAAAGGTTATTGAGGATCAAGGACAACAAAAAGAATAGGATTCATGGAAACAGAAGATGGCAACTGACGTTGCATTTAAATTTTTGAAGATTGTAGTTGACACGAAAGCAGGGGAGAATTCCATAAGCGAGCAGTGTGAAGAAGAAACTAATAGAATAGAACTTACGGTTACAATATATATGTGCAATTTTATAAACATTTCATGCCATTTCAGGCAATAAAGCCACTAAAATGCAACTGAGTGTGAAAGAACATAAGAAAAAGAAAAGCACAAACTAAGAAGTCAAAAATAACGATTGACATTGCATTTCAATTTTTGAAGTTCAAAGTTGACGGGAAAGCAAAAGTCCAGAAGGGAGTTCCACAAGTGAGAAGTGCGAGAGAAGAAACTGCTGTTAAATAAATTACGGTTATATCTAGCAATTTCAACTGTAAAATGATGAGACTTAGTTACCAATCTGGTACTACGCTTAAATTAGTAAAGTCGAGGTACTAACGAGGAAAGCTCATCAGAACAATTAACATGATACAATGAACATTTATAGAAAATGCAGAGGAAAGCTACATTACGGCGGTGAGAAATTGACTGAAGCCGAGATGACAGGTCAGGACCAATAAAATTGCAGATTCTTTTTTAGATTTTATCAAAAATTTCTAAAAACATAACAAATAAATAGGACTAGATGTAATAACAATATTCAATGCATGGAGGGATGGCATATTATCGCTTATTGCTAAAAACTTTTTTCTTTAATAGTAACTGAATGTGTAGATTTTTGGGATGTATACATCTTGATAATGGCTAAAAGAATATCCGAATGATTTCAGACATACAAAATATTCGGAAAATTTTAATACACTTTATTTCCAGAAATAAACACGAACACAAGAATAATTAAAAGAATAAGAAATTAAAAGCTTAAAAGTAGCTGTTTTTAGTCGTCTTTAATGAGATTCATATATATATATATATATATATATATATATATATATATATATATAGATAGATAGATAGATAGATAATATTAGTGGTCTATATATATATATATATATATATATATATATATATATAGCTTCAAGAATCTTTACTTTTTGTTTATTGTTTTCATGTTTAAGTATAATTGTGTTTTATTTTGGAGATTTCATAGTTTATTTTGCTCAGGTTAATTTTCAACTGTTTTATGTAGATAGATTCAGTTGAAACCTAACCTGAACAAAATAAACTGAAATTTTCACAAATAAAACGCAACTATACTTAAACATGAAAACAATATATATATATATATATATATATATATATATATATATATATATATATATATATATATTAATTTATTTATTTACATTAGAATCGTAATCACTATCCAATTCATCAGGCCTACAAATTCAAAAAACATCCTCTTAGAATTTGTAGGTCTGAATGAATTAGATCGTGATTACGATTCCAAAATAATAAATTATAACCATGGAATATTAGTGTTTGAGCCTTATATATATATATATATATATATATATATATATATATATATATATATAATATATATATATTTTATGTTATATATTTATGGGATAAATATCTCAATTTTCTGAAGTCAACACCCTGACATATGAATATGGCCTGACTATTGCATTTAAGTATATATTTATACAAAAAACAATATAGAAAATATTCAGATTATTTATACTATATAAAATTATACATATTCAATAAATATCTATATATGCGTAGCTGGGCAGCAATCCTCTGTGTGTATATATATGTATATATATATATATATATATATATATATATATATATATATATATATATATATATATATATATATAATATATTTTTACAATATATAAATACATATCTTTTATGCTTACATATCTATCAAGACAGAGGAAAGGGGAGAGGAGGGAAGTACGAATACTAGTGAGAACGGGAATAGAAAGTGTGGACAAAGACAGGGAAGTGAGAAAAAGGAAAGCGAGCGAAAATAGAAAGGAAGAGAGAAAAAGAGAGAGAAAGAAGAGATAGAGAAGAGAGGAGGGAAACAGAAAGTAGGTCGGGTGACAGAAGAAAGATAAATTAACGACCGAGAGGAAGAAGAGGTTTCTGAGAAGAGAGTTGGAAAGAAGTCCGAGAGAAAGTAAAGTTTCAGGGGGAGGGAGAAAGAGAGAGAGAGAGAAAGAGAGAGAGAGAAGGGAGACAGAAAGATGAGAAGAAAAGAAAAGCTAAGAAGAAATAGATGACAGCGAGAGAAAGTAAGGAGAGAGAGGAAAAGGAAGGGTCGATGAGGGAGAGGGAAAGCAAGTTGATGAGAAGATAAACTATGAAGATAGAAGAGAGAGATAGAGAAGGAGGGAGAGTGAGAGAGAGGGGGAAATGCTGGGAGGAGAGAGTTGCATTTGAAGAACAAAAAAACAAGTTTGAAACATTCTTAAATTTCAAAAACTTTCTATCCAATCAATGCAGGCACGCACCTCAATCAGTCCACGTACTCTCACTCTGAGAAAGCGATGAATAGAATGATATATATATATATATATATATATATATATATATATATATATATATATATGTTGGTGTATTGGTGTATGTGAGCATGTGAGTGGGTCGCAATACATGTTTGAGTGTCAAAAACATTTGAAAATGGAATGTGATGTGTCCCTTTGCAAATGACAGATTCCCACTCAGAGTCGTTACCCCAAACTCTCCTCGCTTTCTGAGAGTCCTTCTCCATTGTTATACTGGTCTCGCCGCCTTTAGCAGTGTGCATTCCCACAAAGCGTTCTTTTTTTCCAACAACTCTGCCTGCCTTCCTTCCTTTCTTGTTTCTTTCCTTCCTCATCAATTTTCGCAGCACGCAGCATGTCAGGATACAAGTTCTTTTGAGGCCAACGAATATTTCTATCTGTTTTTTGAATATGTAATTAATTGTTTTTTTTTTCTGATCAGAAACGAAGTGAAAAAAGGTTCAATACAAGAAGCAAAGACATTTCTTCTTTTTCAATTTTTCAATACTTACCTCAAAGGATTTCAGAAAACATTTATCTTCGATTTATTTTTTAAAAATATTATATATATATATATATATATATCCTATATCATTTCCGTTGAGTTGACCAATTAAATAGGCCAATGCCTAATCCTTACCCCCTCTTCCTCAATATTAAGTATTGTAATAAAAATAAATTTTAAAACTCTCCCTTCCCTCTCTGAACTCGACCATGTCTCTCACACTATCCTCATCACCCTCTATGTCAACTTATATAAGTTTAATACTGCTCGTCAAAAGTGTAAATTTTAAATTCATTTTTCGTTTCAACTTAGAAAGTGAAGACTGAAGATCCAGAGAAAAATAGAATTCTCTGGTGAAGTAAATTATAACAAATGGAGCCGTAAAGTAGTCTGTTTTTCTTTAAATTGAATTATTCGTTCTGACTTAACATTGAGCTCTCAGGATTTCATCCTCCTTGGGATTATCCATACGGATTACCAAGATTTTCGTTACAGTGATTGAAAAGTAACTGCCTATTTCATGTATGATGGACTCTCCTGTATATATATATATATATATATATATATATATATATATATATATATATATATATATATATATATAAGATAAAATATAATAATAATATATGTAAAATATAAAATCTTAAAATAATAAAAAATCTTAAAATAACATTTCTTAAAATTACATTTTAAAATTACATTTTTCTCATATATAAGAACTACGCAACCACACTGATATAATTGTAAAAAAAGCTGATAAGGCCGACCTTTTCGTCATCCTAAACAAATTGAATTACAACAAAAAACTTGACCACATACTCCATGATCACATAGATTTTAAAAAAACTCAACAAGAACCCGACCAACCAACTAAACTCATTACGGTTAATAATGCTGAAGAGAAATCTTTAAAACTCCCTAAAATTGTTGGTGATTATAGACCTGGTTACATATACGGAACTATAAAAACACATATCCTCTCCGTCCTATCATATTACAAATTCCAACTCCTGTATATCAGCTAAAAAAATACATTAACCAACTCATTATTCCCTACCTTCCTAGTAAATATAGTAAAGTCAACATTAGAAGTAATCCAAATCCTAAAAAGTGAAAAGCCAAACAATGAAATCATGGCTTCACTTGATGTTGAAAACTTATTTACCAATGTCCCTGTTAGTGAAACTATTGACATAATTATAAGAAATATATACATTAACTCATCTTTACCCCCACTTAAAATTAATCCTAATATATTAAGAAAACTACTATTAGCTTGTACTACTGAAGTCCCTTTCTTAGATCATAACAATAATATATATATACAACATGATGGTGTCTCCATGAGTTCAGTACTGGGCCCAACATTTAGCAATTTCTACATGTCGAACCTCGAAAATAAGATATTTACAGATTTTAAAAAACCATCCATCTACCTAAGATATGTTGATGATATCCTTATGTTAGTTAAAAATACAGATGAAATACTTCAACTTCAAAAACGTTTCCAAAATAATGCTGTACTTAAATTCACGTATTAACTTAATACTAATAATAAAATTTCCTTTATTGACATATTGATAAACACAAATAATAACAAATTTACTATTTCGCCATATAAAAAAACCTACAAGCATAAATTCATGTACACTTAACTAGAAGAGCGAATGCCCATATTACTACAAAATAGCAATTATAAAAAATCTAATATATCGTGCAGAAACTAATTCATCCACAAAACAGTAAACTAAAGAATATAAAACAACCACTTATTAATAATAGCTTTCCAAACTATATAGTTGATGAACAAATAAGATGCTTTCTTAGAAATCTCAATACGCGAATAGTACATTATACTGTTTCTACTAATCTCAAACATATTAATCTCCTATATCGTAATCAAATGCATACTAATTATAAACAAGCTAAAAATATAGAAAAAAAAATTAGTAGATACTAATATATCTACAACAGATCCTGGCAAAAAAATTAAGTTAATCATATACTACACTAAATCTAGTATATCCAACTCAGTTATTCGCAATGATTCTTCTCCCCCGGTTAGCGATTTTCAAAAAACCAACATAGTTTACAAATTCAAGTGCCCTTTGAGAGATTGTATCTCCAACGAATTAAATAATATTTATGTTGGTCATACCACAAACTCGGTTTCACGACGCTTGACACTACATTTGAATGATAACTCTAATATTTTAGGCATTTAAAACAACATGCCTGGCTACATACACAATTCCGGAAAATCCTTGTTGAAAACACAACTATACTTAAACATGAAAACAATAAACAAAAAATAAAAATTCTTGAAGCTATATAGTTGAAACCTAACCTGAACAAAATAAACTATGAAATCTCCACAAATATTCTTAAATACCTATAATTGATAACAGAAGCCATTGGTTTATACCAACGGCTTCCCATATTTAATACTTCTCGTTTTCACTCTCGCGTGGTCATGTGTGACGTCATGAGCTGCGGTGCGATTTTCGCTTCCAGCGTCATATATGCACGAGTTTGTTGTTACTTGGAAATTTTCCATGTAAACAGAAACAGACTATCATCACTGTTTTGTCCGTGTATTGCTCAATATATTGTAATACAATTGTCATTTTTGATAATGGCTTATGTAATCCGAAAGCTTAGATAGGATTAAAAAATATGTATCAATATTGTGGTTTTCTTTCTTCGTTTAATGATAATGTTATTAAGCTTATCAGACGATATGAAAAGAATTTACATAGACAACACTTGTCTATATTATGTAATGAAACATGCACCAATGAAAAAATGCTGCTGAAATACACACAATATATATATATATATATATATATATATATATATATATATGAGATAAAATGTAATTTTAAGATATATCATTATTAAGATTTTTATGTTAATGTAAGATTTTGTATTTTACATATATTATTATATATATTAATATATATATATATATATATATATATATATATATATATATATTACATTAAAATGGACAAAGTCCGACAATTTGTTAAAGATTTTTATGTTTAACATTCTTTTTTATAGATACAAGTATTTAAGTATTTATTATAAAACAGAGCATTTACTTAAATACTTGTATCTATAAAAAATGTTAAATATAAAAATGTCTTTAATATATATATATATATATATATATATATATATATATATATTGGGCCCTCTGATTCTGATGTGCTCCACGAAACTTGGAAGTCAGTCAAAAGATAAGTGATTGAACTTTTATTAATTTATTGACTGTATATTATATAATACATACTAATATGGTATATATTATATAATACATGATAATATAGAATATAATATACAGTATATACTATTATAGTATATGTTACATAATAAAAACAAAGAAAGAAGCTCCAAGAACAGTGCTTGATGCTTACCTTTATAACAGTTGAATAATATCGGGGTTCTTGCAGTGCCGTGCTGCGCATGGAAGGGTGTCCCTGCAATCACCTCCAGTTGGCAGCCCTGAAGCCATACTATGTTGCAGTGTGATTCATTTCCCTTCTTGCACGTTTTACATTAGATGATCGACTGCTACTACTAACCTAGGCCTTTCCTTACCAGTATAACACGTCATGACTATAAACAACCTTAGATATAAACCTAAACTCGCTCAACAAAAAGACCTAAACCGACTCTTTTAATCTCGACTCTTGCATACTTTCCTCCCCTTAGAAAGGACTCTAAATTTCACATGCATGGCCTGAGAGTCCGCTAACATCTCCCGCTGGCTAGAGAACTCTCTCTTGAATCTCCAGCCTATTCGGATATTTATATTTCTGTACTGAACACAGTCAGCTATCACTTCTTTCTGTACTGTTCCCCTTCCTCTCAAGACTATAGCGTGCTAAATAGTATTTCTAATAATATAGACAAGGCCATCTTCCGACACCTGTTTGCAAATATATTTGTGTTCGTTGACTTTAATACCCACCGAATTAGGTGGCTTAAACACTGTCACTGACCTCGATGGCATCCAAACTCTTAATTTCTCAATCACTTAATGTCTCGCGCAAGTGGTTGACTTCCCTACGCGTTTCTCTAGTAACCCTGACGGCCACGTGTCTCTTCTCGATCTCTTTTTTACTTCTGTTCCTGACTCTTGCCGTACTACACAGCTCTGCCCTCTTGGCAACTCTGATCATGCAGTAGTGTCTGTGAACATCTCCTTCCGCCCCCTCCAGCTAAGAACCTCCAACCAACAGAATACTTTTTTGTTATCAACGTCCCGTGATTTCCTTCTTGACGTCCCTTGGAATTGTTTTTAATAATTCTATTAAAAAAAGCGCGCCTGGCGTCTCCTCCTAGGTGAAAGTCGGCATCAATGCTTTCATTCCAACAAAGAAATACCAAATTAAAACGCATTCATATCCTT